TATGAAGGGCTTTGAATACCAAGCAAAGCATCTTTTATTTGATCCTGGAGGTAAAGGGGAGCCACTAGGGTTTATTTAGTAGGACAATGACATGATTACACTTTTGCTTTAGAAAAAGCACTTTAGTGGCTGAATTGGGGCTGGATTGGAATGAGGGGAGACTTGAAGCAAGCCGGCTCCCCAGTAAGCTATTGCAATAGTCCAGGCATAAGGTGATGAGGGCTGGCACCAGAGTGGTGGTAGTGTCAGAGGAGAGAAGGATGTGTATTTGAGAGATGTTGCAAAGGTGAAATTGACAAGCCTTGTTGACAGCTTGGATATAGGGGGTGAGAGATAGTGAGGAATCCAGGATGACTCCTACGTTGTGAGCTTGAGAGACTGGGAGGATGATATTTTCATTGATAGGAATACGGAAGGTAGAATGAGGAGTGGGTTCATCAGGAAAGATAATGTGTTCCATTTTGGAGATATTGAGTTTAAAATGTTTAGATGCAAGATTAGAAGTCAGCATATATGTTAGAGCAGGGTGGGTAGGTCTGAGAATCATCAGCATAGATATGATAATTAAATCCATGGGAGTCTATGGCATCGCCAAGTAAAATAGAGGGAGAAGAGAAGACAGACCATGACAAAGACCTGTGGGACATCTGTAGTTAATGGGCATGGTCTGAAACAGGATTCAGCAAAAGAGACAGAGAAGGAGCAGTCTAACAGGTAGGAGAAGAACCAGGAGAAAGTAGTGTCTCAAAAACCTAAAGAGAAGAGAGTATAAAGAAAGGGAGAGAGATCAACGGTGTCAAATGCTGCAGAGAGGTCAAGAGGCATGAAGACGGAGAAAAGGCCATTGGATTTGGCAATGAAGAGATCATTAGCAATTTTGGAGAGAGCATTTTGGTGGAATGATAAGGTTGGAAGTTATGTTGTAAGGGGTTAAGAAGAGAGTGGGAGGAAAGTGGAGGCACTTATTGTAGGTGTCCTTTTTCAGGAGTTTAGCTACAAAACTGCAGAAGAGCAACAGGATTATAGTTAGCAAGGATGGAAGGATGAAATGAGGGTTTTTTTTTCAGGATGGAGGAGACATGGGTGCGTTTGTAGGCAGTAGGGAATAAGCCAATAGTAGAGACTGAAAACAAATGAAAGAGTGAGGATGACAGAGGGGGCACTCTGTTGGAGGAGACAGGATGGGATGGGATCACTTGAGCAGGTAGAGGGGTTGGTCTCAGTAAAGAGGAAGGCCATCTCATCATGTGAGACAGGGAGGAAGGAGGAAATAGTGGCAGAAGGCATCTGAGTGATAGGAGATGAGGAAGAAGGGAGAAGAGGGAGCTCACAGCTAATTACTTTGATTTTTTTCAAAGCCACGAAGCACGTTTCCCAGCTGAGAGACTGTAAGGATGGGGAGTCTTGGGAGGCTTGAATAGAGATGAAAAGGTTTGGAAGAGACACTGTGGAAAATGGGATAGTGAATTGACAAGGGAGGCATAGCATGATTGTCTAGCAGCAATGAGGGCCTAGTTAAGGTTGCATAACATAAATATGTAGTGGACTCAGAATGGTTGTGTGATTTTTCTTCATCATTGTCGGGCAATATGTGTGTAGGTGGCAAATGGTGGGAGTAATTCAACGCTGAGGCTTAGCTGGCCATGATCTTTGCAATGATAATAGAGTAGGGATTTAAGAGAGAAAGACTGTGTAGAGTTGAATTGGTTCGCCAAGGGGTCAAGATGGAGAAAAGAGGAGAAAGTGGTTAATGCAGGGGAGAATAGTCTGGGAAAGATTTGAGGGGTCAAGGGATTGGTGGTCACAGTATAAATGAAGAGCATGGTTTTATATGGGAAGGCAGAGGGAAATGTGAAATACCGCTAAATTGTGCTTGGATAAGGGGATTTCAGAATTCTTGAATATACAGGTAGGTGAACAAGCATATGACCATCTTTGTATGTGGCAGAGGTAGGGGGGAAGAATAGTTCATGAAAAGTGAATAGGCTGAGGGACTTAGGGGTTAGTGCTTGAGGGAGAGTCAATATGTATGTTGAAGTCCCCTCATATGATGGCAGGAGCTGGCAAGGACAGAAAAAGTGTGAGCCAAGTACTAAAGGAAGGAAGGGGGAGTGAGGTGCAGGTCTATAATCAATAGCTACCAGGATTTTGATTGGGTTAAGTGATTTTTCCAGAGTCACACAGCTAGTAAGTGTCCAAACCAAATCGAAACTCAGGTCTTCCTGACTCCAAGCCCCCCACTCCACCCACTGTGCCACCTAGCTGCCCATAGAAACACATCATGGCAAGAAATCATCAAGCGGAGGAAAACCAAAGCAGAATAACAGCAGAATGAAGGCCCTTTAACAATGCTCTTTAACAATCACTCTAATTTCAGTTCCTAGCCTAAAGAGCAGGGTTGGGGAACCTGTGGCCTCAAGGCCACATGTGGCCTTCTAAATCCTCAAGTGTGACCTTTTGACTGAATCCGAATTCTACAGAACAAAATGTGGTTCCCCAC